GTAGGTTGGTGGTAAATTTGTTCTAGCGTGAGCTTACATGGGTTACGTTAAGTACATAGGCGTCTGGGGCTGGTTAGCTGTATCTACTGAAGCGGAGAAATACGCATGGAACTTGGAGCGGTCTATGGCGCGACAAACTTGCGCGAATTCGCCGAGTTCCGTAGTCGAAGTGTTGTCGAATCGCATGAACGAGGATATTGCGAATAAATGCTGATTTTGTTTTTTTTTGTCTCTTAGAATTTTCTTAAAAATTCAATTGTAGCTACGTGAGTGAGACTTTTTTCAAAATTCGCGCAATTTGGATTTGAAATCAAAGCTTTGGAATCTTATCGTGTGTGTGTGTTCTTTTTTTTTTTACACTTCTCGACCACACCGACACGTATGCGTACTCACACGCGCGCCGCGAGCAACTCGCGGAGATAAAAATCAGTAATTAGCCCGGACCATTATGGCGGCTGTGTGAAAAATTAGCGAGTCGTGGGGTAACCGCCCCTCTGGGCATAATCCTGCATCGGTAACGGCGCGTACCAGCGTGCATCCAACCTGTCTCTGATTTATACGGGTTTGCTATTAATTATACCTACTCTCTACCTCCCTACGTTCCTCTATATCGTTTCTCGTTCCTATCTTTTTTTCCCACCGCGTCTATCCACTCTATCATGCCTGCCACTAGTTCTCTTTTTTTTTTTTCATCTTTATATGCGCTTGACTTTTTGTAACTATATACATGAACTATACAATCAATAAATAAATAAGAATATATAGACAACTGCTTTTACAATTGTCTCTTCGAACGGGGAATTTTGCTCTTAACTCAAAGTTTTTAGTACCAATAAAGCATAAGAAATATACAACACAATTAGCAATTAACAAAATAAGATAACATTTAAATTTGTATGCAAAATGCGAATAATACATATATATTGTAATAGACAAGAAATTAAAGTAAATTAAAGGTTATATGAAACAAATAATATAACAAAAGAAAAAAAGAAAATGTATATATACGAGTATATATTATACATCCATAAAGTAGTTTTATCAAACAAATCGCAGTCATTTCCAATTTTGTATTAATAACCGCGTTTTCTCTCTCTCTCTCTCTCTCTCTCTCTCTCTCTCTCTCTCTCTCTCTCTCTCTCTCTCNTCTCTCTCTCTCTCTCTCTCTCTCTCTCTTTCTCTCTCTCTCTCTCTCTCTCCCTCTCCCTCCCTCTCTCTCTCTCTCTCTCTCTCCCTCTCCCGCTCTCTCTCTCCCCGAATCAACTTTCAATCGTAGTGCCAAATGTTTTTATTTTGTTTTACACGTGCCAAAGAATTCGAGCCATTGCGTCGAGCCGAAAATTCCGTCCCGGATTTTGCGTCGGTCGTTGTTTCGACTGCTGCTGGCCGGACTCGACGGGCTGCGGCGCAATTAAATTAAATGCTTCGGATTAATTGTTCGAAAGCAGTTAAATTAGTTGCGTTTGTTTCGCCCGATTTTTGCGCAATCTCGCTGCGGAATGCGTGAGATGCACGCATCGGGGGAATTTCGTTACCCGCGGCCCCTGGCGCGTTATATAGCTCGGCGCCCTGCGAAATCACCGCGATGCAAACGTATCAACGAACGATGGCGCGGAACGATGGTGTGCCCCGAAAAATTCATTTGCAAAAGCCGCATTCGACGCGTCTCCGTCACACTGTGAGCGAGATCTCGCGTTGCGTGATCGACGCAGCGTTTTCCCACTGTTTGATTAAAAGTTTAAATAGAATCGACCTAATTATTATTAATGTAATACGCGACTGAGGTAATATAATTTTCATGTAACAACGAATTTAATGTACACCTCTGAATGTTTAAACATTGCCGCCCAGAATTAAACCGCTAAATGCAGAAAATTTATCAATGTGTATATACATCTATATAAATTTCTATATTTATCACTGTTTTCAATTTACTGGAATTGAAAATTTATATATATATATATATGCATATTTTGTTACATTTAAAGTTTCGAACAACTAAAGAATCGAAATATTATATAACGATATATTATCATTCCGTGTGATTCGCAATTTTCTTTCGTTGCAACAAAGATCTTTCTATTAGCAGGCATATATCAGGAAGACCGCCAAAGACCACCCCGTCTCGACGATACTCCGCCAGCCAATCCCCGTCGAGAATCGCGACCAGTATAGCTGAGAGCTGCAGCATCCTAGAGTGCAGCTGCAGCACGCCGGCGCGGACTCTTGAGCCGCATTGCTCGGATTCTGACCGAGACGCGTCCAGGAGTGGAGAGGCTTACGAGCTCGCAAGTAACGTGCCGCTAGACATGGTCAGACTGGCATCCGGCCGCAAGCTCTCGACCTCATCGCGACCATACATAGGCTTCACCCCCGAAGTCCACCCAGCTTTCGAGCAGGTTCTCCCCCTTCTCCTTGGCCACCCACCAAGACGATCCTATGCTCCTAGTTTCACCCTCTCTCTACGCGCACTCACCCCCTTCAGAAACAGAAGCTCGCAACGTCGGGACATTCGGAACACGACGGACCGAGGAGAGATATGCATCATTTGGTTACCCGACTGGCCGACTACGCGTGTCTCCGATCGGCGTTCCGATCCGATGCATCCGTCCTCCGATCCGATTGGCTCGGGCGATCGGTATGCGAAAGGGTCCTCCAGTCAAGATTTTCAGCATAACTGCCCGTATCTGCGAACATGCCGTTCTCTCCCATTCGAATCGGATGAGTCCGCCCGCGTGCCGATACGTCGGCGGTATCGTGCATCGTGTGCGTAATCGCGCGCGCTTTGTTACCGGAGAACGTTACATCGCCCGGTAACCGTAATAACCGCGGAACAGTAATACGCCGTTAATATATATATACGAAATGCCATATTGACGCGCGCTTGTATCGCGTGTCGCGTCACTTTTTCAAGTGGTACTATATAAACGCTAGTGAATCTCGAAAGTACCATAAACCCCTGGAGTTTGACTCTTTCTCTCTCTCTCTCTCTCTCTCTTTCTCACTCTTGTAATATCGAGTGTTAATTTGTAACTTTTATCCCTCAGCTTCTTATTTAATGAACTCAGTGAAAATTGTGAAAGATATACATACTGATAAATATGTGTATATATATATATATATATATATATATATATACGTATATCTGTTGCACAAATTAATCAATGTACATTCTCGTTACTTGGCGCTATTGCAGCAATTAGAGGAGGTTTGCATCTTCCTAACCTCAACTTTTAAGAACTTCTTCTTACGTTTTAAGGTTGTCCAGCTCAATTTCCAAAGAAGTAACTTTTTTCGTAAGAGCTCCGCGAAAATACGCGATATTCACATGGATAGTCGTTCGTCTGCTAGTTGCACATTCCCGACACCGAAATTGCATACCTTCGTGTACGCGCACATACGGGCTGGAAACAAACGAATAGGGTTGTTCGAACGCCGTAAAGGGTCCGGTGGGACGAGAGGAAACGCGGGGAGGGGTAGAGAGGGCCAAGAGAGGCTTGCGGGAGGGTTGAAGGGAGCGAAACGACGGTGGATGGTGATGCCGGTGACTCGGTCGTACGACAGAGAGAGAGAGAAAGAGCACGAGGGGTTTGGGAAACGTAATCGTTCTAGCCCCGTGCGCCTCAACGAACTGCCCTTCACACACGTTTCGTCTCCCTTGTCCAACCTCTCCTCCCACACATCTCCGCTATTTATTGCTCGCACTCGGCCGGTTCACAACATAAATATGTTACACCTATGACCCTACCTATTGCATCGGGTTCGCGAATTCCTCCGTTACTTGGCTGAGCAAAAAAAGAATGTCCATAATCGACGAACAAATGAATTTAATTTGGCAAAAAGAAACTCTTGATTATTATTCTATACTTATATTTTTAAATTTTTAGATTTTTATTATGTATAAGAGCATTACGCAACTTTAACAAAATCGTAGAGTTTGTTTTCTCTTGTCGAAGATATTTTTTAATATAAAACACACTTCTATCACAGAGATAATTTATTTCAAGTAAAAATAATCTATTTAACTATATTTTGTTTCATTATTTTAATCATATTTACCTCTTGTTTTCACGCAAAAATTTCATTAACGTTTTTTTAATACTTTTGTTGCTTCCTCAAGAAGTACTTCTCGTAGGATGTACGAAGAGGGGTGTCTAAAGGGGTGTTTAAAGGGCAGTAACATCGAGGGTTAAGTTTCAAAGATAAAAGAAGAGCCAACTGTTGAATATCAACTCTCTTTCAGAGCCGACGCCAAGATACTTTAAAATGATTCTTTTTTATATGTTACCGCGTATTATATTCTACAATCATTTACACACATATTGTATATAATTTTAAATAAATATATCATAAAGAATTGTTTTTATAAATGTTACAGTATCGTCTCCTATATTTGAACGATTTTCACGTCTTTATACACATGATATTCTGTGAAATTTATCCACGTATCTCATTTATTTATTTATTCTTTTCTAATAATAGTTCCCATATTTAGTAACATATCGGTCAATACAATAAAAATATTGAAAATATTTAACATAAAATGGAAAAATGTGATTGTCTCACAATAACACAAAAAGTGTATATTAATCTAGAGAATAAAATATTAATACAGAGAAACTCTATATATATAATATATATATATATATATGTATATATGTATACATATATATAAAAATGTATATATGAATATAATGTTCTATTCGGTTAAAAAGAGAGTTGTCGAAAAATTAAATATTGTAAACTTTCTTTTTCTTGCATATGTTGTGATTTTTAATTTTTCTTATTACGCAGAAAACATTCTTACTTTTGGAAAACATATATATACGTTACATATCTTATATAAAAAAAGACATACATGTAACTACAAAATATTTTATCTAAAACATGTCATTTTTATCACTATTATACACTACATTAAAAAGTAAACTTCTTGTATCTAATTTTATAACAATAAGTAATAATTGTAAATTAAATTATAAATAAAATAATTTTCTAACCTTCTCTGAAGCTTGTTGAAATCTTCGTCTTTGGCTGATAGCTCTTGATCTCCACGAAAGGCTTGGTCGAAACCTGTCGATCTCAGCAAACTTTTTGAAGCACGTTTAAATTTTTGACGTTACAACTGTAGATAAAATACGACAAAAACGTGAACGATCGTTTACAAAAGACGTTGAAAAATTTAAAGAAAGGTGAAAGAAAAATCTGACGATGAAGAGATTGAAAGGAATGAGTTACAGAAAAAAAATGTTGAAAGTCTGGGAAGAGAGACGGAAAACCGTCTTGAATGTTAGGAAACACGGTTTTTGCTATTCCCGGTGACGACAATATCGCAAGCTTTCCTTTTGCAAGCGCTCGCTCTCGCGCGCGCAACGAGCTCTCGCAGCTCCGCGAATGCACGTGCAACTCGGACGCGTGCCACGTGGTGTTTGGTCGGAGTGGCTCAGCCGCGACAGCCCGAACCGGAGCGGTGAGCTTGCAAGCTCTCGGCGCTTTCATTGGTTGATGGGTGGAAACTGCGCATGATTGCGGGTGTGGCCGAAGCTTGAGGGGCGGAATAAGCTCAGGTCGCCGATAGGATACCTCGCAAGAGGGCACGTCTCCGTGGGTGGACCCCGAGTGCCTCTGTTCACATCCCGCCCCCCTCCGAAACGTAGAGCTTTTTCCTTAATCTCGTAACAAGCGCGAGAACTGCTCCGCCGTCCGAGTCTCGAACTTGCGAACTGGCTTCTTCCGCGCGAACGGGCGTGTTCTTTCGAGATGACGCGACAGTATGGCGGTACATCGAGCTCACGTCTCAACGCGGAGAAAATTACGTTGCTGGCGAACGCGAGGATTAAAGTTTAAGTAGTAACGTCAGTGTAAAGTCAGTCGCCTCCAGACATTTGCAAGACGTTTTGACAGAAAAGTGTTAAAAAAAACTTCTTAGGAAACACCAAACAAAATATATAAAATACTATGAAATAGAAGAAAATTTTCAGTTGTTTAATAACAAAAATCTATTTAACATTAGGTTTTATAACAATTCAAGAGAAATGTTTATATTATTACTATTATAAATATTTCTATTATTTCAGAAATGTATATAAACAAACAAATATTTTTAAAATAAACTAGAATTTTAAAATGTTTAAAAATTTATACAAAACTTATTTTTACTTTTCGAGAAAATAAAAGTCACTCTTGTAAAAAAAACTAATTTTAGATTTCCAGTAAATTATTTTAATTTATAAAATGGAATTATTAAAAAATATTAGAAAACTTTTAAACTAAAACTGTGGTTTTACATACATTCACGCTATTCCACGTTCAAGCTATCAACACAAAACACTGGAACGTTTTCCTACATACACATACAATATTGATAAATAAACTGTATTAGCTTAACAAAAAATACAAGTATATTGACCGCAATAACGGCGGAAAATAGTTTTCTTTTTAGCAACAGGTGGAAGGCACTCGAAGCGTGTACTGTAACAAAAAAATGGAAAGAGAAAGCCCGAAAAAAACGAAGACAGCAAGATGCAAATGGTCGATTTATCGAAATTACACGTCGTAGACGTGTGTTTGAACCAATTTGGATACTTGCGCGATGTTCGATCGGATGTTAACAAATGCGGACGGTTCGTGGATATTTGACGAGCCCGCGAATCCGCGATAAAGCGAAAGTCTAATCACAGCTGGCCGATAAATAAATCGCACCGACTAAACAGCCGGCGAGTCAGTTGGGATTGGGGTTTGATTTCGGGGGACAAGAGTGATCTCGATTGCGTATTTACACGGTATGCCTACCGATTGGCGTGCTCGCCGTTTTACCCATTCACTCTCGGCGAGTGGTATTTGCGTTCAAACTGCCTCACGTGCTGGATTATTGATTATGGTTCGAATTTTCGAGGTCGACGTGTGTCGTCGATTTTCAAAGACGTTCATTCGCATTAAGTTTCAGTTAGTTCATGATTCGCACTAAATTATATATAGTAGATAAAAGCTTGTTAATGAGGTATGCAATAATTAACTCTTTATATTGTATACACATCTCTGATATATTCCTAACCTTAATAATTTACCACGTATATATTTGCACTCGTCAAATGTATTTTAGATTTTCATTACAGAAATTTATTACTAATAGAGCCAAAATATTATTTATTTTAAGTAATAAAATCACTGAGATAAGAGCTGTGTAACAGTAATTTTATTACTCAAAATAAGTAATATTTTGGCCCTATTACTGCCTTAGCTAAAATATCCTGTCTAGCGTATCGGAAGAATCGAAAAAACTAAGATTTTATTCTTTTTGTTTATGCCATCAGCAGTTAGGACAACTAAGTTAAACACTTTCTAGACGTCTATAAAGCCTTTAGGACTTTCTAGCTTCATTTAGAAAATGGAACGTGTGTAGAACTTCCAATACTTCAATATATTTTGAAAAATGCAAAAATGCTAGATAGAACATTTTAACTAAGAACGGCAGATTAGTAATAAATTTTTGTAAAGGTTCAATATATTGTTACGTATCTAATTGTATATAAAATAATATAATGAGGAGTGACTTCCGGTTCGTTGCGGTTAATCCAATTTAAATGCCTATTGGTTCGCTTTTGCCGTATAATTATGTTTATATATATACATATACATATATTAAGTTTATATACAAATTTATATACATATATGTTGAGTATATTGTTAAATAAAATTATACATTATTCTCTGTCTTTTTATCTCTCTTTCTCTTTTTTTCAACTTTCTTACTTTTTCCTAAATAAAATCACGAAACTTTCCATTCTCGATTCTTACGAATATATAATCCGGTACGTTCACCAGCCACTAGAATGCAATAATAATTAAAGACGTGAGAAGTATACTTAATTGCATATCACGTGTCTAAATTTAAAACGCAGCATTTTTGAAGACGCAGATGACATCTTATGCAAAATTAAAGTGTCAGAAGCGCTTCGTTTTGATGCGCCTTCCGCTAGACGACCGTACGTGAATGTTTAACGGTCTCGTCGTCTCGGCTGCCGCACAATTATATGACGTCAATTATTGATTAATTGCAATTATGATACGAACAGTTTCGAGAGGGTCCGATACGGATATAACGATCGCCATTTCATAAATTCGCAATGACGCGAGAGAGCGAAAACGGCTACGCCTCCCCTCCCCTCAGTCCTCCTCAGCCTCCCCTCGCTACTCCCGCCCCGCGTCTCTGAGTGACGTGTCATTTATCGCATAACGCGAACGTTTATGTGCATTCGTGTCGCATAATTGCAATTAGAGCGGAATTCATTTACATCGACCGACATTCGATTTGTTCCGAGAGAAAGCCCGGGATTTACACGCACCCCTTGACGCGGCGCGGGTGGACGCGCGCAAGAGCGCGCTGTCGCGTATGTTGGTCGTGTCGGGATTTATTTCCGCGCACGTCAATGCCGCCGCGACAGTTCCGCGATGTAAATAGGATTGGATTAGCCGTTCTCGCGAGCGCGAAAAAGAGAGAGAGAGAGAGAGACCGAGAGAGAAACGGACGCGCGACAGTTCGCCCGTTACGTGATAACGACGGAAGATAAACTACCGAGAGCTTCGACAAGAAACATCTGTCAAGAGATGTAACTCTCGATTCCACGCGATATTTCACCAGAAGAACGCAAGACGAATCGTTCGATGTATGAAAAATCATTCGAGAGAGCTCGGAAAATATCTCCTGAATATATCTCCGAAGCTAAATAGATTTTCAATTAGTTGGCGAGACAAATATAAAACTTAACAATTCGATTTTAATTTGGAATAGTTTACGTACATGTCGAGAAGTTCAAAATGTGAATTGATGACAAAAGCAAGATTTCAAGCTTGTTGCAAAAACGTCAACAATATATTTAATTATAAATAAAATATAGTATTTAATTAATAAATAATATAACTATAATGTTTTTTTTTCCGATTGTTTTCGTTTCTAGTCGCAATCCAATGACCGGCGATGCGATTCGAAATTTTATACCGATTTTTCGAAAGCCGCACCATTCTGCGTCGGGATTAAAAGATAATACCGGCGATCCAATTTAATCGCACGATTGACGGGTAAACAGACGCCGCGGCGCCGTTCTCTCGTTCTCTGCCCCCACCTTCCGCTGCTCCTCCACCCTTTTAGGACAAATCGTCCGTGGCGCGATGTCCCCAAACCCGGTAGAAAATATAATTCAGAGATATTTATAGCTGGATTACCGCTGGAATTGGGTATCTAATATACATGACCAAACTACCGCGTCGCCTGAATTTTAATTGTCCCGTCGAAAAGCCAGTTTTTTGAGGATATCGACCAAGCGCGATTATCGAGCGAACGCAAATTCCCGTAAACGGTGGCTCGTGGATGACGATGACGCGTTTGGTTCCCTCGCGGATGAACATCAAGTGTAATTTTATACTGCGAGCTCGCGGTCGCGTCCGAAAGCACAGTGGACAAGAATTTCTCCGCGGCTTTGGGAAAGGATTAGCCGCAATTGATAGCCACGAGAACGGGAGGGACACATTCGAATTTGTCGTGCAGTTAGCCGCTCAAAGAGTGACCACCGGTGAGCCCAATTGCATTCTTGCGAGTTTTAAATTCATAGTTCGTTTTTTAGCAAATTGTGCATTACTTATTTGAAAATATTCAACGCATTTTCTCTTTGTCAAAGAACATTGCTGTAATTAAAAACTTACACGTTTTAATTTATTCTGTCAACGACAACTAATTAAATGTTAAAAGTGATAAAACAACGTGTTTGTCATTTGCAATGCATTTTACGAGCTTGTGTAAAAAAGTTATCTAAAATCATAGACGTGCGAGAACTTATTTTTAGATAGAAAAAGCGTATAGTGACAAAAGAAATCAACTCTGAAGTAATAAAACTTAATAATAGATAAAGAGTCTCTGCGAGGTTTGCGCTCGCAATAGGGAAAACCGAAGCGACATAGGATCGCGGAACGTGCCGAATGCGAAATTAATTGGAGCCAGCCGGCGCGGCGTGCGGCCTCGCCGCGGCGGGCGCGCAGGGTAATTTTGTTCCGGATCCGGGAGTTTAGTGTCGGGACGGTGTTCGGTGTCCAGTGTCCGCCGCGCCGGACGGACAGCGCGATGCAACGCGGTTAGTGCCGGGCCAGATGTCGCCACGGGCGTGACGTCACCGGTTAACTACCCTCTCGGTGGCGGACACCACTACAGCGGAGCTCGCCTTCGCCCGACGGACACGATATGCGGGGATGATTCTGATTAATTACCGATAGTTACACAAGCTGACGCCGCGTTCTCCGTTGACAACCCTCCACAGTATCGTCCAAGAGCGCGCCAAGCCCCTACAACACTCCGACTATCGAAAGTCACGACTTCGCACTTTTTATATTACACTTTTCTTGTACATATATTGTTAA